CGCTCGACCCCACCTCAGGTCACCCTAACTCTGCCATGATACAAGACGCGGGAGGAGAGAATGTGTGTGTGTGTTAGGTGAATCCTAAGTCCGCTGTCACTTAAAACGAATACTCGCGCAAGTCATCGGCCCCGATGTGTCTTTCTGTGGAATATACGGTGGACATTGACGGATGTGACAGTCGAACTTTTGGTGGTGGTTCTGTAGCGCCGGTGCCAAGCCCGGAAACCATCACTTGACTGCACACCTCTATCTGCTTATGGGACAGTCAATCAAAGGTGCCATAGACTGCTATTGGCCAAGCAGTTGATCAAGTGCCAGTGACTCACTCTCGCATGACGTTTATGCATTTACGTCCATAGCACGCTAGCAGACAGACGCGCGTGCAGGGCCCGAGCCTGCCGCGTGTCGGGGCTTCAGACCACCACCGATTGGTGGTCTCACCCCATTTCCCTCTATGCAGGACTGGGCGTGATAAGTTTAGTACTCTGAGCACACTCACGGCTAGACTCCTACAGTTCTACATACCTGAGGAGAAGAAACAGAAATGCGAAGAGTGTTGGGACAGGCACCGAGTCTTGCTAAGCGACAGGCTGCATCTGCGAGGCCGCTTTCAACGACCAGATGCAGAGGTGACTCTCCAACGGTAGAGCGCGAGCATACATCAGTTTGGATGTTGGGAAGATCGAGGAGAAAGAGGACAGCGGCCTCAAGTCCGTGACGTGCAGCAGCAAGAAGAGCCGTATCGCCTGGTGCCGGCCAACAATACGTAGGCGGGCTTCCCGACACTGTCGTGATCATTTCCAAGTCCACATTCGAACCAGCTGTAACCAGCTGCTTGGCAAATTCCTTGGACTTTTCTCCAAGGAGGTCAACTAGTTGCAAATAGCAGTGAAAGTTTGAAATCAGGACAATAATCAGTAGGATAATAAGCAATGGACGACGAAAAGGATGCAGTGGTTAACCTTGATCGTGGGACTAACTCAATCGAACTAGAAGGAAGTCTAGACCAGTTGACGTTATAACACATAAGTTATATGAGTAGAGGCGTATAGTTGGACTGTCTCACCTTGTCTAACGAGGGAAGAAGTCAATTTAGAAAGCTGTGCCATAAAACGCCGTACCTTTCGGCTTTAGAAAGCCCCCGAGTCTTTTAAAAGGACCAAAATTTCTTCAAAAGGAAAACTTCAGTTTCTTGCGAAGTCAAAAGTAAGTAACTACCGAATATTTTAAATGAACTTTCTGTCACAAAGTAATTGAAACGACTTACTGTGAACAGGTGCTGCCTTTAACGGTTAGACAGCCCGGTACATGAGAAAAAAGCAAACAATGCCGATCAAAATAATGTCAAATATTGTGAAAAAAAACCGAATTAACAAGTGTTGGTAAAAGCAGATCTAGGGGGAGGAGATGGTAGGTAAAAGCTTTGTTCTCATGTTTGCTGAGTTATGTTTCAGTAAAGGACATACGTGTGAGTATCGCTGATGATACCCGTAAGTAATGTTTACTTCAGTAAAGAACCACTACCGGTAAGAAGCGAATTAAACTGCGATGATTATTTCAAACTTGTTTGCACAAAAGAACCACCTGCTATCTCCGTGCTTGGCATGGCCAACGGTCAGTTAACTGCATGCACTCTTTCAAACATAACTGACCGCGTGTTTTAACTAGCACCCCGTTCCCATTTAAATGTACTGGTCCGATGAGAATTTATTGAAATCTCACGTATTCTCATCAACTGCTCTTCTGCATTTCAAACTTGTTTATAATGTCCGGCTTGCCGTGACTGCCAGTGCTCAAAATGGCCATTCTGGTCTTCTTTTTCTGATAGAGCAGGACAGAATGTCATAAATCCACTTTGCAATTAATTCGAGCT